TGCTGCTGCTGCAGTCCGCTAACAAAGATTCGTTATTGGGTAGTCTAGCTGCACTGGCATACCGCTGCTCTTTAGAAATGTCTTTCTCTTCGACAAGATGACTGATATTCAATGCAGATAACTGTCCTTTTTCCGGTAAAATCTCGTTAAGCGTTTCAACCATTGGAATCAGATCTTGGAAGAAAAACTGAAATACAAAAGGCATCTAAATTTCACAAAGAAAACTTAGTGGAAACAAAATCCATAATTAAGTACCGAACTACCAGGCTAGCGGAGCAGCGAATCTAACCAGATAAGTGCAAAATTTAGTCGCAAAGATCCAAAATTTCTTGAAAGCCGTATAATATCTAGTCAAAAAAATTGCCAAAAAATCAGTTGGGAATTATTAAATTGCAAAAAAAGTAGCGCAGACGAGCCCAAAAGCGCTAAATCTAATCCTAGCCACAGTCGAGCAAAGACCGATGACAGTAAAAAGTGCAGAAATGATTTTTCAACATTTACTTGGCGGGCAAAAGTTATACTGATGCTTTGTTTACGTGTAGTAGCTGTGCTCTGCCTGTGTTTACGGCTAAAAGAATGTTCTCCAGTATGCTGAATCACCGCTCTGGATTTTAATAATTCTTAGCAGAAGATATCTTTAAACAAGAAGAAAACAAAGAGTGTTACAAGAAATAAACTATTACATTAAAGGAAGCGATGCGCACAGCTTCTTTTAAAATCTCTCTCATAAAAGGCAGTAAATTAGCCGAGAAGAGGCCATAAAAGAGGAAACTACGCGGATTGACTGCAGGAGGAGGGAACATAGTGGTAGTGCACCGATCAACTCCCATAACCAGCTGTTCCCAAAGAGCAGTAGCTTCTCCAGAGTAGTAGGTGCACAAAGTTCTGTAGTTTTGGCAGAGACGTTTTAAGCTATACGCTCAAATTTCCGAGTTAATAGAGATCGATTTTTATGGATACAAATTAGGAAAGTCAATGATAATAAAAATGTTAGGCCAAGAACTCAAACAGACAGTGCAACTGACCCGTAAACTTGAGATGTGCGCTTGCAAGTCGCCAATTCTTTCTAAATTTCTATGAAAACGATCAAATGATTTCTTTCGCCCGCTAAATTTCACCACTAAGCCAGCAACACTGCGATCAACCTGAAATCCAACCAGTTAAAAATGCCAACAAACTTAAAACATCAACACCGCCAATATTTATTCTAAAAACTGCCGCAAATATTAAAACAACCGCCTGGACAATTGGAGACGGAGGCCAATGTTAGCAATGCGATGCTGCTGCATTCTTGAACGTATCAGTCGAGAAAGCACGTGTTAAATTATTTACTGCTGTAACACTACAGGTCAGGTACTCTCGGCAGCATCTTGATGTACTGAGAAGTTCTTTTCCTAGCTGTTCTTACCAAACACATCTGCATCACTTTAATAAACACAAATAAATTTGCATAACTCGTTTTGTTGCCCTGTAAGTAATAAGGAATCACAATGAATGCCTATTTTTCATTAAATTTATTTTTAAGCACTTCCTACTTCGCCCAACCTACTTCTTTTCATGATTTTCTTCTCGCTGGAAACAGCATTTGAACTCATTTTTTTCTAAAGCGTATCAAAAAAAAAAGTGTGGAAAAAAAACAAGTGTTAC